GCCTAACATAAACTATGGAACATAAAAGAAGATAATTTGAGAAACATCTCAGTATTGTTTGTTCATACAATGAAAGTCATTGGTAACCAAAACAGCTTTGTACCAACAGTCTTCAAAATACCTTCCTTTATGTTCCACAAAAGAAAGGTTTGAAACGACATGAGGGTGAGTAAATGATGACAGAATAATTGTTTTTTGGGTGAACTATCCCTGTAATATTTTTATTTTTATCATATATATATATATAAATTAAATTATACTTTAAGTAAGAAACTAAATCTACCAGCAGGTGGCGGTAAATATCTTTGAGTCATTCATTCATTCGAACGGCTGATTCTTTCTGGAATGAGGTAAACGACTCTCTTTATGAATGGGCCGTGGAATCATTGGTTCACACAATTCGTTCAAAACGCGTATTCATTCAGAAACTAAACACTGCTGTGTTGCTCGGAGACGCGCAACAATTCTGCTATGGCTTTAAGGTAATGTTCTCTGCTAAACTGAGCAAAATCCATATTATTGTGTATAAAATATAACACAATATCAACTTCTTATTTACTGAACTGCTGTATAAAATCACATACTGTATAAACTCGTGATATTCGGGAAAAAATCAGCACTTGTGTGACAGGCTATTGCTCTCGCTGCACGTGTGATATCGCTTATCATATGATATAAATATGAGACAAAAACACATATAAGGGCATTTTTGCACCAATATCTTGAATTTTAGGGCATAACTACATTTATGGAGTTATTGCCCTGCATCATATTTGTAAACAGTCAACTGTATGAAATGTAAGATAATATTCAGGTCTCAGGGCGAGGCCAGTGCGTTAACTGCGCTAAAATATTTTAATCGCATTAGTTTTTAATAACTAATTAATTAAGTTAATGTGTTAAACTGACAGCCATAATATATAATATAATATATATATATAATTTGAATGTTGTCAACATTAAAATGTACAAATTTAACATTAAAAAAGAGAAAATGGAACAATAGTATTTACTTGTCTTTCTGTTATGTCATATAAATTATCCAAATTGTTACTTCCTGAGAGCCACATGTAATGTGAAAGGGGAGGGCCATCATGGTGTAACATGGTTGCTTTTGAAATGAGGGACACAGTTGTATTTGACTGCAAATGCAAATGCTTGTCTTTGTGTTTATGTTTTTGAATTTTGAAGCAGTCCTACATAGCCTGTTGCCATCTTATCCTGTGATTTATAAAAGTAATACAGAAAATAAACTGCTGTTAGAGGGAATGCTGGATGTGTCAGTGCAGTGAGTGACAGGCCTGCAGGCACATGATACAATGCTGCTGTTTTTTAACATGTGAAAACCTGACAAATCAAACACACTCAAACAGATCAATTACATATGATTATTGTGTGTACAGGTTTGGGTTTGTGTGTGGAGGTGAGGACAAAACTGGAATAAGAGGAAATACAAATTTGCATACATGGATTAGACCAGGGGTGCCCAAACTCGGTCCTGGAGGGCCGGTGTCCTGCAGAGTTTAGCTCCAACTTGCCTCAACACACCTGCCTTCAGGTTTCTAGTATGCCTAGTAAGAGCTTGATTATCTGGTTCAGGTGTGTTTAATTGGGGTTGGAGCTAAACTCTTCAGGACACCGGCCCTCCAGGACCGAGTTTGGGCACCCCTGGATTAGACGTATCTGAAACAACACCTGCACAATGGGCAGAAGTGAACACACTCTCCAACAAGTCTTTTTCCATAAAGTGGCTATGCATTGCAGTGGTTTTGTCAGTTATGTGTTGGAACGGGATCATTCACACACTCATGAGGAGCACAGGAAGTCTTCTGCAGTGAGTCGGAGGGGCTGACCCAAGCTGGGTCGCAGCCAGCGCAGCTGTCAGGGGCCGACGCGCTGGCCTAAAGCACAGACCCACCCTCTCTCAGTCTATATTTCCTTCTCTAACTCTCTCCCTGTCTCCCAGCAGCAGCTGCGCTTTTTTGGCTGCAGCTGTAAGGTGTGAGTGTGTGTGTGTTCATAGGCAGGAATATCTGCATGTGTGTGATTGCTGGAATCCTCCTCACTTTAGTTTGTGTGTGATCTGTAAGAGCGCCCAGCAATTACTAAGCTGGCACTACGTTGTCTGTTTACACACACACATATTCCTACTGGACTTTATTAAAACACCATCTGCTGTCAGCTTACACACACAGCAAAGTAGAGGGAGAAACAAGGCGGGCAGCTATTTCTTAGCAATATCTGGTAAATTACTGAAGACAAGCCGCAGTGGCAGCATCACATACGATCAGCAGGTTCATGTGCTCTGCAGTCTCACGAGGCCATGTGTTTGCCTCAGTGTGAGGGGCAAGAAGAGTCACGGGGGGAAAACGGCGAGGACAGATCTTTTGTCTGTCGGTCCAAATAATGCAAACATGCATCCCTGCATACATACACACACACAGAGTGGGTGTAGAGTCCCGCAGTGCTGCACAGGTGCAGCATGAGCTTTGGCCGGGCCCTCTAATGACAGTCTGATGGTTATTTCATTAGCTCTCATGTTCTCAGGGAGATGTCATTTAGGATGAGCAAGCATACTGATTGGACAGTGACTGTGTGCAAGCAGATGAGATAGGATAGGTGGATAGATGACTTGTTATAGCTTCGTTTGTTTATACGCTGTACAGCATACCTACAATTAAATACAGTGGTCCCCTATTGTATTTGGACAATTACACATTGTTTTCTAATCCGGCACAATTAAATAAATTTATGAGATACTCAAATTAAGTGAAAATGTTATAAAAATATCATAAATATGGGATAAAATTTTAAAATTCTGAAATAAACTGACAAAAAACAATAACATTAAAAGTCAGAACTATGAGATCAAACGTTTTTGACTACCATAATTGTCTTATGATTTTCACAAAATTGATTAATTTATAAACCTATGTCATTATCATGACTTAACATTGAAAAAAAATAACTATTAAGATTTACTTAAAACAATTTTGGTAACAAATTGCACGGACACATTTTAAGTAAATTTTACTGATCTAATATCAAGTACAACTTACTCACTATTATTACGTAAAATCTACTTACTAAACTTAACATTCATGAAGAAATTAAATCTAATTGCACCCTAATTAAGTAAATATTACATAATTATATTTAATTTAAAAGTGTTTATTTAAAGTAATTAAGTAAAGTTTATTTATTATTTTAAGTTGAGAACCTCTGGTCTATACCTGTAACAGATCGGCCAGGCTCCACCACCACCCGATCACAACGATCTCTATCACCTGAGTACTGAGCACCTGCACCTGTCACCAATCAAGCACCTCATCAACCAGCCTGCATAAACGTACACTCCCCATGTCATCACCTGGATCCTACACCCGTACTCTCTGTGACCAAATAAACTTGACTGATATACTAACCTGTTGCGTCAGACCTCTTCGGTTACTGAAGACCGGACCAACACCGACGGCACAGATGAGTCACCCCGATCTGTTTCAGGAGCTCGTAGACTCACTACGACGCGTCCTTCTGAATCCACCGGCATCGTCACCATCACCGGCACCGCCGCCCTCACCACCCATCACCTCCTCCATTCCAACCAGCACTTCTTCGCCTACCATCATCGCTAGTCCCATGGCCCGACCGGCGCCCTACTCTGGCTCGGCGGAGGAGTGCAACGGATTCCTCCTTCAGTGTAATCTCACATTTGAAATGCAACCGCAATCATATCCCACTGACACCTCCAAAATTGCTTTTATTATCTCCCTGCTAACAGGACCAGCGTTGCAATGGGCGGAAACGATCTGGGCGCAGGCCAGCCCCGTCATTCAAAATGTACAGAACTTTCTAGTGCATTTTGCGAGGTGTTTGGAAGGACAGACGGCGATACCGCTGTGGGAGAACAACTCTATCATTTGCAACAGTCCTTCAGTGTAATCTCACATTTGAAATGCAGCCGCAATCATATCCCACTGACACCACAAAAATTGCCTTTATTATCTCCCTGCTAACAGGACCTGCATTGCAATGGGTGGAAACGATCTGGGCTCAGGCCAGCCCCGTCATTCACAATCTGCAGAACTTCCTGGGGCACTTTCGCGAGGTGTTTGGAAGGACAGACTGAGATACCGCTGTGGGAGAGCAACTCTGTCATTTACAACAGGGTACCATGTCAATTGCCGAATACTCGCTGAAGTTCAGAACTCTCGCAGCAGCAAGTGGATGGAATGAGAGATCGCTGCTGACCACCTACCGACAGGGGCTGGAGCCCCAGCTTTGGTTACAGCTCGCGGCATATGATGATTCATTTGGATTGGAAAGATTCATTCAGCTATCTATCCGTTGTTCAACCCGCATGCAGTCCTGTTTAGCAGCAACACCAGTCTCTGCCACAACCTCCTACCTCCGCCGACCAGAGCCCAGTTACCCTCCA